CTTTTGTTGTTTTGTGTGCTACACCTATTCCAAAAAGCTTCAACAATCTTGTATTTGTTTCTGATATATATGTTAGGTTGATCCATTTTTCGGTTTCTGTTCTTGACTTTGTTTCTGATAATGCGTTTGTCTGATTTTCTTTTCTTTTTTCTTTGTAATATATTACTAAATTGTAATTGTGTTATACGTTGTCTACAAAATATTATATATATTCACCATAGAAGAAATGTCTTCAGTTTTTAATTTTTTTTCATTCATATGGCAGTAAACGATATGCTTTCCTTATCTCTAATAAAATTTAATCCAGAACAACCAGTGAAAAGCAAGGAAGGCAAGGTAATCATCAACATTGAAGAACAACGGAACAGGTGGGTAGAACACTTCAAGGAACTCTTGAATCGACCAACTCCACTGAACCCACCCAACATCGAAGCAGCACCCACAGACCTCCCAATCGATGTTGGCCCACCAACAATTGAAGAGACCAGCATGGCCATTAGACAAATCAAGAGCGGCAAAGCAGCGGGACCAGACAACATCCCGGCAGAGGCACTGAAAGCAAATGTAACAGCAAATGCCAAGATACTCCACATCCTCTTCAGTAAGATTTGGGACGAAGAACAAGTACCAATAGACTGGAAAAAAGGACTTCTGATCAAGATACCAAAGAAAGGCGATCTGAGCAAGTGCGACAACTACAGGGGCATCACTCTCCTCTCAATACCAGGAAACGTCTTCAACCGAGTATTGTTAAACAGGACGAAGGATTCCGTGGACGCCCAACTTCGAGATCAACAAGCTGGATTTCGTAAGGATCGATCGTGTACAGACCAAATCGCAGCTCTACTGATCATTGTGGAACAGTCAATTGAATGGAATTCATCACTCTACATCAACTTTATTAAATCCGAGAAAGCATTTGATAGTGTGGACAGGACAACACGATGTAGGCTTTTTCGACACTACGGCGTGCCTGAGAAGATATTTAATATCATACGGAATTCCTATGATGGATTAAACTGCCAAATCGTCCATGGAGGACAGCTCACAGACTCGTTCGAGGTAAAAATCGGTGTCAGACAAGGTTGCTTACTCTCACCCTTTCTATTTCTCCGGGTAATTGACTGGATCATGAAGAGGTCAACATCTGGAGGGAAGCACGGGATACAATGGACAGCTAGGATGAAGCTGGACGATCTAGACTTCACAGGTGATGGGGCTCTTCTATCACACAAGCAACAAAAAATGCAGGATAAGACAACGAGTGTAGCAGCAGCCTCAGCAGCAGTAGGATTCAATATAAACACAGAGAAAAGCAAGACTGTCCGATACAATACAGCATGCACCAATCGAAATACATTTGACGGAGAAGCTCTGAATGATGTGAAAACTTTTACATATCTGGGCAGCATCATTGATGAACACGGTGGATCTGATGAAGATAAGAAGACGCGGATCGGCAAAGCAAGAGCAGCATATTTACAACTGAAGAACATTTGGAAGTCAAAACATCTGTTAATCAATACCGAAGACAGAATTTTCAATACAAATGTACAGACAGTTCTATTGTATAGGGCGGAGACGTGGAGAACTACGAAAACCAGCATCCAGAAGATACAAGTGTTTATCAACAGTTGTCTACGCAAGATACTTGGGATTCGTTGGTCAGACACTATCAGCAACAACCTGCTGTGGGAGACAACAAACCAGATTCCATCCAGTGGAGAAAGAAATCAGGAAGAAGCTCTGGAATTGTATAGGACACATATTGAGGAAATCACCCAACTACTTCACAAGGCAAGCCCTCATATGTAATCCTGAAGGCCAAAGGAGAAGAGGAAGACCAAAGAACACACTACGCCGAGAAATAGAGACAGACATGAGAAGGATGAACAAAACTTGGATTGAACTAGAAAGGAAGGTCCAGGACAGAGTGGGTTGGAGAATGCTGATCGGCGTCCTATGTTCCATTGGGGTAACAGGCGTAAGGAAGTAAAGTAATAAAAGTTAGTGGAATATTGAGGTTATTTTCATGATGGTTAGATAGTAGTTGATGTAAATTTTGAAATCCACTAGGCCTATATAATTTTGTTTAACATTTTACTGAATGTTATGTAGAATATATTATTCATCAGGAAATTAACTGTCTACTAGCTCTTGATCGATGGTTTCAATGTTAATAGGTTGTATCGGTATGGTATCAACTTGAAATAATAACAATTGGTATCAGTTAGTTTGAAAAAAAACTATTGTGAGACAACTTTTTCACGTTTTCTGTTTTGCAGCGTTTCATTAAATTATCAGACAGTTGCTTAAACATCGTTGAAATTATAACTTTACATAAAAAAAATTAATTACTCTACTGTTGAAGATTATTTCAAATTTTCTATAGAGTACTATTAACTAATCGTAATATTCGATAGTGACTAGGGTTTCCTTTCATTTTGACCTACATCAAACAAATCAACTAACTGTTTGTTCACTTTAATACATTGTTTTTGGTTCTTGTAATCTTTGTTTCGAAAGCAGCTCTTTCCTCGAACAAGTATTGATTATTAACAGAATATACACTTTTATTTTCTTTCAATTTATGAAAGGTGAATGAATCATTTTTTTGTTATCTGATAGAGAAAGAGATGGACAAACTTAAGGAAATTTGTATATTTAAAAATATATACACTAGCTGTTCCATCCTATGGAAAAGTAAGCTTAACGGAAGATAACAAAATCAAAAGCAATCAGTTATTAAGAAATATAGCAGAGGTAAAGCATAGTGAAATTTATCGTAACGACGTTACATGAATGTTTTATCACTACTAGTTCCTCTCATTTGACTCAAATCTTTGATGAAATTTTCATTGTTAGAATGTATTGAACCACAATTTTAACTACTATTAATAAACTGATGTATTATTTTGTTGCAGTAATTGGTAAATTACAAGAATATTGATGAATCAGAGACAATTCTAATCATGAAATCCAGATATCCAATTCTAAGAGCTGATTTCACTAGTGCTATGGTGGCTCAAAAATTCGATAAAGTAACAAAATTACCATAATGTTTAACCTGATAAATTCCTTCACCCGGCCTATCTCTTGATCACAACCGTGTAGTTTACAAAATAAAAAGTCAGAGGCTAAATACGTGAATATATGTAAACTTTTGGTATATGTATCACAAATTATCGGTATGGAAATAATAATTTCATTTTAAGTTGGCCAATGATTAGTTAAGGGGGGAAATAGTTAACCACAAAAGCAACGACTATTCACTGTTTTGTACTGGCAGTTGTCTTGTGCTATCTGACTTTGTGAATTCACTCTTTTGTAAAATAAATTTAAGCATTTTGACATCATACAGCGATTCTAATATGCTTTAAGTGATTTCTTTTACATATCTTCATTCAGAATAAACGTAATCTGCTTATCGAATGCAACAGATTAATATATGATTGTATGATTCAGTAATTAAAGTGGTTTTAAATTAATTTACTGGTTATATGATCAGGTTTTTATTCCACATTCTTGATTTAAATCAACTTCTGTATTTAAGCGAAATTCTGTCTGAAACATTACATCGACATCGAATATAGTAGGAGATTTTGACGATAAGAGGTATTAATAAATCAAGAAGACACCAATCTAAACCAAGAAAGTAGTCACTTCTAATACTGCCTTTGATAGAAAGATTTCTATTAATGAGTGTTTGGAGGTTACTTTTTATATCTACAATTAATGTTATGTAGAATACAAAATAACCCGGTTTTTGTCATGATTTAATTCATTCGAAGTCTCAATATTAACAGAATTTAATTTACTCTTTAGATCTTTATTTAAATAACATACTCCTTCGGTTAGTTAATACTAGTCGTATCATATTCAAATCTTTATTTTATATAATGTACCGCATATTACTTGACTAGTTGATCAATACTGTATCTTAATTGGTTGAATATGACAGTCTGTAAACATCGAAACTATGTTTCATTCTTTATAGTATTATTCATTTGAGAATATCTGTGCCAGAAAGTGAAATTTACTCTCTGTATGAACTGAAAGTCTCTTGTTGTTCTTCTTTTCGTTGATTTATTCATAACAAAAGATTGTAATATTCAGTCACTAGTTAGGAATCGGGCATTCCTTCAAAGTAAGGATCTAAATTCTTTAAAAACAGTTAGTTTCATAAATTCTTACGAATAAATTTATGCATATAAATCCTTTTGTCATTTTATTAACAAATCTGAATTACCATAGTCTACTATTATATTTCATTTCTAAATAGTGCTTTATAGGAGACGATATTTTAATTAGGTTTAATATTTAAACAACTACTACTTATTTTTCATAGTTGAAAGCTTGAGTCAATTGAAGCTAGACCACCATCGAAAACCTGGAAACACTGGACGGCCGTTTCGTCCTATTATGGGACTCCTCAGCAGTGCGCATCCACGATCTCGCCTTGCGATATCCGAACCCAGGTCCTATCAGTTTGGCACCAGAGCACTTTCCATGGTGGTCTAGCTTCACTTGACTCACACTTTCAACTATGATAATAACAATAATAAAGATAATGTGAAAACAATTTGAAACCTAATCACTCTGGCTAATAAGCTAATATTATCAGGGTAGGTTTAAGATGACAACAAACAGTTTTTGAATATACAAAGTGGGTTTAAATTTTCGTATGGATAAGGATTCAATAAACCTTAGTATACGCCGTTTTACACTTTCATAAAACATCACAAGTATTTGTCTGATCAGATTGTTCGAAATGTATTGTGCGCTAATATATCACATAGTTCTGATAATCTTCGTGTTCTTATTACACTATCAAAATTTATCAAAGAGACTAATTGCTTTACCATATTTTGTATTCATTTAATTCATATAGTTAGGAAGATGTATTAAATTCTTTTGTATTTTGCATAGTTACATTCAATTAATAACTAGCATCTTTTTTTAATTATAATATTTCTTGTTTAACTTTTCAATTAATCTAGGGATCAAAGGATAATATTACATCCTATTTGAATTCTACAGTTAAAAATATAGATTTTTTTGGATATTGTGACTTTAATTTAAATTCTTTAACAGTGAAATGGACAGATCCAAATCAAAAATATCCATGGCTATTAACATTTACTTTCAAATTATATGCAACTGATTATTATGCATTTAATTCAATTTCTTTTGATTATATGTTGATTGATGGTAGGTTATATTTTATTGGTGTATCTGTGTATGTGTGTGTGCGCGCGCGCTCTAGAAAACTATCTACATGTTTAAATCATCAAAGATGGATAGTGGATAGCAGTGGAATCCAGGACGTGCGTTTCGTCCTATTTGGGAATCATCAGCTGGATGTACCTGCATCTCAGAGTTGATGTTCAATCTGGGACTCGAACCCAGTACCTTCCGCTTCAAACGCCATCGCGTTATCCACTCGGCCACTGAGTCCTGATAGCCACTTGCTTGTGCAATGGGGTGAAGTTGACCTAAAAACATCAATGGGAAGATTCAAACAAACAATACTAAGTAAAGTTAATATTATGGTTAATAGTGTTTAAATTCAATATGTTTACTCAGTTTAATAATGAAAGTATAATAAATGATCAGCAGTAAGATATACAGTATTTGTTTCGTCATATTTCAATTTTCTTTTTAATTTAATATATTTATATTAGAGTTGATAATTTTTTCTTACTATAATTCGAGTGCAGTTGTAGTGAATGAGTGCACGAATGGAGACAATCGAATGTATGTAAGCACATATTACAAACTATTTTACTAAATCTGATAGCCATACATTCAACAGTTAATTTGCAAAATAACTATCAATTGTCTCAATCTTCACTGTTCCTTGTGTAAATATCAATCCATCTTCTCTAATTTCATTGTTTATGTATTTTCCTACCAATTGAGTTTTATTTCAGTTCTTTCCTTATCGGTCATCTGCCAAAATACATTCTATATCTGACCATCAACATATACTACTTATAAGGATATAAGTAGACCACACCATTTAGTACTCATCATTTCAAACGTCAAAGTATTTGTTATCCAGTATAGTCATCAGTTTACTATGAAGTACATTAGAGGAATTAAAGCTTTTGTCACTTCTAAATTCTTACATTTTATGAATCAAATTCCTATTTCGACATTTGATAAATAAAGATGGAAAGAATCAAGCGAAGAAATTTCTTTTTCATCATAGCTCTACACTAATAAATTTGCCTCATGGTTTACGAGTTCGTCTTTCACATATTCCTCAAGCTATTGAAATTCATGTTTACAAACCAAACCTTTACATTTAAAAGAAGTTTGTACAACCACTCTCTCTACCTTGGCTATCGATGTAGGGGAGGCTGTAGCAGAACTTTAACAAATTAATTTCATATTTCTTCCACTTTTTGTATTTTACTTTTTCTCCACATTGGTCTCTTGATTCTTATATAACTACCATACTACTGACCATTGATCAAAATATTTTGTTAGTTCCTTCTTCTTTTTTGTATATTATGCAACGTAGCAACAGCTTGATTTTCGAACAATTACTTTAGTTGTTACAATCCTCTTTCTTCCAATTACTCAATGTTAGTTTATAATCGATATGTCATTATATAACTATTACTTAACGTAACTACTCGATGAGCATTATATATATACGCCCTGCCACTGAGTTTATTTAACCCAGTAATTAGCCTTTATAATTTAAGTCAGTTCTTCAAAAAATAAATCTTCTGTCGCTAGTGCTTATCTGTCACAACTGATATATAATTGATTCTACTTAGCATAAATCCCTATCCAAACTCCAAGACATTTGTAAAAAAGAAAGCAGCCAATCATCACTTAGTAACTGTTATTTCGACAATCTTATTGGTACTTTTAACTTACTTAATCTTAACAATTAACGTCTGGACTTTATAACTCATTGACCCTCCAAATTTTTATTATACTTTATTCTTTTAGAGCAAATTTATGCATCATCCGATGATGAAATATTTTCTATTCAAAAAGATCAATATTACAATTGTACTAAAGCACTAAAAATTGAACTTCGCCCTTTGGACCGAAATTATAGTACAGTCCGCTTAATATTCAATAGTATTGAAGTCGAAGCCTTCCGAGAAAGTCCTGAAACTAGCTACGTTGGCAAAGGTTAGTTTTAATTGTGCAAATAATCTAAAAGTGCTTTTTGTCGACAGTTTTCTAATAATCCCTTTCCTATATTGTAATGATAAGATAGGGTTAATTTACGAAAATGTGATATATTTGTTCCATAAATTTTAAACAGTTCGGTCACATGTATACTTGATATGGCATTTATATAAAAAACAACAAACGTCGACTAAATGTACGTTTAATAAACAAAGTAGTGATTGTAAACGAAGAAGGGAAATGTATAATATGGTATGAACAGTATTAGTTGTTAGGTTAGAACAATCTGTATCCATGTACATAAAGGTGGTCTGAGTTTTCTGACTACCAAGGCTTCTTTAGTCGTAAGAACACTCCATCACTGCTCTTTGTGTTTGTTTTTTCACCCATACATATGAATTGAGCAAGGCAGTGTTCTGTGATGTAATCGTTCACGAGCAATGTCTTGAAAACCAAGCGAAATTTAATACAAGTAAATGGCATATTAATTTTTTTAAAATTTAGTTTTGTGTTTTATCTCTTCACTATTAAATAGAATCACATTGTTCCAAAGATGATAAAGAAAATTTGACATACATCATTGTGAGTATATCTATCTTCACTATGGTTGTGGTCATGATATTCGTCTTGTGCTTAAGCAATGATGAAACTCAAGTAGTTGGAGTTGATCATTATAGTTAATACAGTACTTTGAATTACTGGCTAACTTGTCGAATGATGAACCTGTTCTCTTTGAGCAATCAATTTATTTTAATAATTGTATGTGATCAGTTTGTATTTAAACTTGTAAGTTGTTTTACTAACTAAACATTTACGTCTAATATCTTTCATATGTTACAAATTATTTAGTTCATGATAAATTTATTGTTTGAATCCCTGTATTTTCGATAACATATTATTCAGTTTATATAAATTTAAAAAATTTCTCAAAACCAGTTACTAGTTGTCAGTTTTCTCAAAATTCTCTTTGGAAATGATCGCCTGTGAAGTCAAATCAATGATGAATGAGATAGTTAATTATTAACAGCACCGAATGACTTCCATTTCAAACAATGAATTGTACATTAAATTATCGTTTAAATTATCTGATACTTACATTGTGACAACAATTTTAAGCTTGATCCATGTAGGCTATCGGGGGGGGGGGGAAACAATTGAGAATTCTAAAGTTAGAAAGCAAGAGGGATTCAATATTGCTTAGATTTAAATAGTTTTTTCAATTTATATTTATTCATGATAAAAACTACATACTTATATGAAAGGGATCTCCATTGTGACCATCTAAACATAACGTTTTTATGAACATTCTTATAGTTTGTATAGACTATAACCATATAAGTAAAATTAGGTTTTTTGCTTCCTTACTATGAGAAAGTAACACTGGATAAATCATAGGAATTAATAGATCAGTTATTATTCATGAATGATATAAAGTTTCATGATGAATTTCCACCTCCATGATAATTGTAGATGAAACCTTTATGGTAGGTTTCATCAGTACATTTGATAACATTACTAATATGTTGAATTGCAGTTTCATTCCAAATAGTAGGAGATGAAGTATGTAATTTTTACAAACTGTCAATGAATATATGTTGAAATCATTAAAGACTGTTATACAGCGTATAACTAACTTTTTTTAGTGAAATTGTATTTAATCATTCGAACAAAAATTAATTAGGCTTTAGTGTGAATTTCATTTTAGATAAAGAAATGTGATTCCATAAGCTTTTGATTTGCCTTAACCTTTTCATGCTTTAGAGTAAAACAGAATTTAAGAGACAAAGCTACAGTTCATAGAAAGTTTGAAAATGTTAGTTTTTTATCTTGATTGAAAAGAAAAAACAGTCATATGATTTGTATAGTAACAACATATTATATAAACTTACAACCTACGAATAAACACGCTCAAAATGTTTGTCGAGAGTTAGAAAGGTTTAGTGAGTCTTAACTGACTACGGTTTATATTGACGGGGAATTATAGCAGCTTCTACCACACCTCCAGTTAGTCTATTTTGTTTGCAGATTGAATTAATAATTCTAGCCTAGTGATGTATCTTATATCCTTCCGAAGTACTTCGTAATCTGTGACCTTGTTAACTAAGTCATATGCACTTTCACGTATGCTTGTCTTATGTATATTTTATGGTTGAAATCATGAGTCAGTTGTATCTAGACCACTATGGAAAACCTGCAAGCACTGAACGACCGCTTCGTCCTATTGTGGGACTCCTCAGCGGTGTGTATCCACGATTCCGGCTCGCGAGATTCGAACTCAGGACCTATCAGTCTCGCGCGAGAGCGCTTGACCTCTAGAACCACTGAGCCGGCATCCAACGGTGTTAATGTCTACTTTCAACCAATCCACGAAGCTGAGCAACCGTTCACCATTGTCTTCAGTGAGTTGATATTTCACAACATACCTGATTGAACTCCACTGATCACTGCTTCCCACTAGAACTCCTGGATTTACCCCTCAAAGTCAGTCACTAGTGAGCATATGATTATTATCAAAGGTTAAGCGCTCGTGCGCGAGACTGATAGGTCCTGGGTTCGAATCTAGCTATGCGGAATCGTGGATGCGCGCCACTAAGGAGTCCCACAATAGAACGAAACGGTCGTCCAGTGCTTCCAGATTTTTCATGGTGGTCTAGCTTCAATTGACTCATGATTTCAACCATAAAATTACTAAAACCTCCATAAAAACCCCTTCTTATGTATATTTGTAATCCATAAAGCAACTAGTTATCAGTAAATTATGCATTATTCTTTTCTATATAAAGTGTGAATCATCTGTTGATCACTGAGTAGACTTGTTTTCATTCTCCTATTGGCATCTCATATCTTCTTTCTGTTTACACAGGAATGTCTGAAATGACATTCTACCATCTTAATTCACATTTGGCATTTATTATCACCGTCGCCAAGCAGAGTTAACTGGGAAATTTATATTTTATTATCGGTATGTAGTTGTAGAGATTGCCGAGTTTTTATTTGAGATCATGGACTGATGAATGTCAAACTACCATTTGAAACCTGGAATCACTGGACGGCCGTTTCGTCCTAGTATGGGACATTAATACCGTTGGATACGGGCTCAGCGGTCTAGATGTTAAGCGTCCGGGCGCGAAACCGAGCGTCCTGGGCTCGAATCTCACGTGTGGGATCATAGCTGTGTACTGCTGAGGAGTGCTACACTGGGACGAATCGACCATCCAGTTATTCTAGGTTTCTAATGGTGGTCTGAAGTTCATCGATTCATGATGTCAATCAAGAATTGTATTTGACTGTTAGGTTTTTATTGTTTATAATGTATTCAGTTATGTGCTATAAAATGAACAAATGTAATACCTAATTAATTTTGCTTCCATTCATCGACTTAATCATGTTTGTGAATAGCGGAATAATATAAGTCAAACATAAACAGAAAATAAGAGACTTGAATTAGAAAAGCCCAAACGTATCTATTCAGAACATTTCTCGTTACAAGCTTTAATCTATTTCAAAATAGAAAACAAATAGTTTGGCTAAGGAAACAGACGCTGAATAAGATAAGAAGTATACAGATACACGCAACCATATACAAGATACATAAGTATAAAATTGGAACGCACGCGAATGAAAGAGATACATGTGCTGAAGGGGATAAAACTTTATGGGCAGAATATTTTGTTGTGGAATATCTCCGTACATAAATCAACCTGAGAACCATTATTACTGCAATTTCCGGTCTTGTAAGCTTTCCAGAAGGCAGAACGAAGTTGCGCAACAGCTTATTTTAAACACAGCTTAAACCAAATGACTAGCAAGCACATAACGCTGGAGACAAGTTATTGAATGTAGTCTAAGAAGCCAATATATAGGGGCATGTAAATAAATTATTGAGCGTTTTAAACAACATTTCAGCTAGCAAAATAAATATATGTATAAGCTGTCACATGCAGTCAATCAAACATATTCATTTGCACAAAAATGAGTATATGCATATGAAGATATAGGTGAATCATTACAGACTATAATAGCATTGTATGCCTGCTGAATACGTTAACTAAAGAGACTGGTAGATTTAAATATATATCACCTCATGTGAGGGTGAAGGTGTAATGAGTTATTAGGAAATTGGGACTGGCTCAGTAGTCAAAAGGTGTTTAAACTTTTAATGTATGATTGAGAGCTAAGATAAGCTCACAGGTGTTATTATTATAGAAGTTACGGCTAGAGTATCGATAGCTCAGTCAGCACTCAATAGCCTTCTCTTTCTGGAAAACTATAAGGAAGAATTTGCAATACATTTCGTCTCTATATGTCGTAGGCAAGTAAAATCATCTTGCGGCTAAGATGATATTAAGATAGTCCTCAAGCAAATGATAAATTATGTGCAATACCATCGTAATCATGATGATATTTTCCTGAAACATTGATGAGTTTGACCCGGAGATTAATGAGAGTTGAACACGTTCATCAATGCTTTTAAAACTCTCACTGCTCAATACCAGGTAGCATTTTGAATACATTCGTTTTGTCTTTTTCACAAAAGCCTAGTTTGGTGTACATTTAAATTAATGTTACAGACTTGTTTTTATTACCTTGCTATTAGAAAGAGTTGTAGAGGTAAATAAATCTTCAAAACGAAAAATCCTGCAAATCTTCGACATTGATTCTGACCTCATTAGTTTTACTGGACACACCCTTGGGTGAGGGCGCTCGGTCATGCATCCTCACGAGATCACGAGTGTGTAAGCCGTGCTACGCATCTCTCGCATTTACTAACCAGCTTACATCTAACGCTTTTCAACGTATCGGCAACCTCCCAAATATATTTTCTAAGTCATTCATTCTTGACTTCTTTATTGACTGCATTGGTATCCTTTGATCATAAAGGTGTTACGGACACAAGCGTTGTCAAATCCTGAGTATCCGAAGTATAAACTTTGTGTTATTTGGAATTTAGTGCTTTTTTCAACATAGCCTAGTTCATATCTTTTGGTTCAACATAACTGTATTACTGGTACAAAATTGTGATTCTGTGATGTTTAAATAAATCAATGATTTCTTCGTAGTGATGACTGTTGTAATTTTGAATTCCAAATACAATACATTCGTCCGGGTTCATCTAATACTTCTTGATTAAATTGCGTTATTCCTGGGATTACTAGTTTATACTACAATTCAAATACTTCTGATCATCATATTGGCGTCGCGATTGAGCCTGTGATGGAACGGTTGGATATAAATTCAAATATTAATGCTTTTGAGGATTACATGGAGAAGTTCGAAATCTGGGATATAACCAAGGAAGATGATGAAGATTTTAATATTGTGGCTCATTTCCTTACATTCATCGGAAAAGAAACATATAGCCTTATAAAGACTTTGGCACTTCCAGATAAACCGATTTCACTCCCCTATGAAACTCTCAAGCAACTACTGTTGGATCATGTAAAGTATACAAATTCTGAATGCGGTAAGAGAGAAAAATCCAATAAAATGACTTGACAGAACATCAGGAATTCCACTAATTTATTAAGTCGTCGCAGTTCGATGCGTAATAAAGTTATCCAGACAATATTTCATTGAGCTTTGAAACAGTCCATGGAGATGAGCACGAGATTAGTAAATGCTTGTTCTGTGGCAAGTTTTACCCATGTAATTCATGTATATTTCGTAATTCTAAACGCTTT